TGTAGGTAAAAAGGTAATAAAACTATACAAGAAAAGCACGGGAAAAGTGTAAATTAATTAAATGATTTATTAATGTTTTTTTTATGAATGTTTAACAGGTTACAAGGGTTATGTTTGTGTAAGACTTATTTGCATGTGTGAATATATACGTCCGGTCGTTCGTGTTGTCGTTTAATCGGTTTTTAAACAAATTTTAAACAATTTTGGGGACATTATAAGGTTTATTTACACTAATTAATTCAAAACTTTTTTTTAAGTTGTCTGATGCCAAATTATCATGTTCATGTATTACCCTTTAGGAACATACTTTGCGAGATCATGAGTCACGAGTACGCGTTACCGTTCCTCGAACCTGTCGACACTAAGAAGTACCCGAACTACAAGAAGGCCGTCAAATGTCCTATGGATTTATCTACAATCAAGAAGAAAATGCAGAATGGAAGGTAAATTTTCTCCGAAATCCAAACCCTTTAATTATAAGTATTTTACTTCAGATAATTTCTTCCAATGACGAGTGGTCCGACCGTTTGGTACCGAACGTCCGTTTCTAGATGTCGCCTTGATCTTGTCCCGTTTTCGATTCACTAACGGGGTTTTTACTATACAAAATGATCTTTATTATCGCGGGTGTGAGCGGTTGTGAGGATTCAAAAAAAAACATCAAACGTGAAAAACTGTCATTACCAGCTCGCTATTCTTTCATAAAATCTATCTCGACATCGAACACAGCATAGAGATTCAATGAAATGTAATCTTTGTTACTTTTTGCCGTTTAACTTCTTCGCTATGACAGCTCTGCATTCAACGTCGAGTTCGTTGCTGAATTTTCTACAGAATAGCACTGCAGATGTTCATATTAAAGTCGAAATAAGTAGGTGCGCAGAGCACAATAATGTGGTTTTTATATTTATTTATGTTTGTTTCAGTTACAAAAGTAAGGAAGAATTCGCGTCTGACATGCGGTTGATATTCAGCAACTGCGAGATATTTAACGAAGACGATAGCACTATTGGACGCGTTGGACATTACATGAGACAGTTCTTTGAACAAAGATGGACACATGCTTGAAACAATTACACCACAGTGTACACGCGTGGGTTAACTCTTGAGACTACTTCTGGGCCAACTTTTGTGATATACTAGTCTGTTCGAAACTTGGCCAAAAAGTTTGAACAAACAAAGCCAAAAGAGCATTTGATCTATTATCGATATTGCGATCAAAAGTTGGCCTACCTTATGTACGACATTTAGATGCCAACACTTGAGATATTATCTAGAATAATTGAGATAACAATTTGATCATGTATGTAAAGTACATCTGTATCAATTAACCTAACTTATCCACATTTTATGTAACCTATTGAACAAAATTCGAACTAACTTGGCTTAACCATTGAGACAATCTGGATCAAAGACTACTTTTTAAGCCAAAAGTACAGAAACAATAAATACAATCGATTATATAAATCAAGCCAGGCTTATGTGAATAGGTTTCAAGATAGTATATGATCAAATTGATTTATATGGAGACATTAAATTGTGGACTTGATGTGCACGATACCTACGATAAAAGGACAAATGAAGGATTTATATATAAGCCTTAAAAAAATAAATCCATAAAAAAAGCGTTTCGAAAAATATTTAAAAATGTGTTAAATAGAAATATAAATACATGAACCGTAGTGCAAGGCAAGAAGACTTATATTATTTTTAAAACATAATAGGAACCAAATGAAGAATTACAGCCGCTGTCTTTTTTGTCTATTTAGTGTATACTTTGGTACAATACTTTTATGACATTCTTGAATTGACAAAACTAGGGCAACTAAAAAATATTATATATTTATACCTACTACGATTGCGCTGGACGCATCTCGATTGGAATTATATACTTAAACATATGTAAATTTATCTTATTTTAATCTCGGATCCCTTGAGTAAGCCAAGGACCGAAATAGTTTAAAATCAATATTATTTTTCGTAGTACAGTACTATTGTTTTAAATCAATACTTTATTATGAAAAGCAAAACTCTATTATTGTTTTTATAGTGTTCAATCAGAAAGTAAATTTTTAAATTGAAATAAACAATTGAAGAACAACTACAAAAAAAAAACTGTATAAATAAAATATGAAAAAAAAAAACAGCAATAATGTCTTTGTTGTTTTTCGTTTATTCGTTAATTTAAAAAAATATATATGATATAAACAAAAGTGCCAAATGTCACACAACTGATTATATTGTTAATACAATTCTTATAATAATATGAGCAGACATGACAGTTTCACAAAAAATGTCTAAACTTTAATTAATGATTTGTCTTTTGCAAAAGTATTTTGTTCAGGAGTTGGTATACAATGATAAAAAATATTATAAACTTTTTGTAAATGAATGTCTTAAAAAAATCAAAAATTCGTATTTATGTTGATGAGAAAAGTATCATTAATTTATTCATTCCATGACCGATTCTATGACATAAAACCAAAATGTATATGACACTAACATTCCATACAAAATTCGGAATTATCTAGAAAACAATAAAGAAAATTGTAAATTAAGAATCTCAAAGAATACGAAAAATCATTTTAAAATGGCAATGATAAACTGTAATAATAAATTTTAAAGTAATCGATCAACGCACATTAATAAACGTTGTCGACTGTACTTGTATTTAATTCGTAGCCAACTGTAAATAGCGTAGCGTTATATTAAATTAGGTTATATAAAATAAAAAAGTATTAGATCTATTTTTAAGCATAGACTAGAATTATTGAATGTCACTTTTCTAATATTATTTTTGTAATAATTTGCGAGTAGAGCAACGAAACAGTATTTTTAATAAATTCTTTACTGTGAGAATTTCATTGATTTAAAATAATTGGATTTTATGTGGCCAGTGTGGTAGTTATTTTTTTTTTTGTATATGTATAACATAAATTGGTGTGTATAAAAATATATAGTTGTCTATTTCAAATTTTTCGCCGTAGAATGGAGATTTTAGATTTTAATAATAGTGAACTGTAAGTGTAGTGGGCCTAGTTTGAGCAAATGCGTACTTTACCATAGAGTTGGCAATCTCGAGTCTATGGTACGATCACTTGTATAAGGATATCGGCCTTAGTCTATAAAGTATGGCACGGTGACAGTTCTCTATACTGTCAAAACTTGTGGTTTTTATCATGGGGTGACATTTACATATGGTATAGTAAGGTGATCATAAAGTATTTTAACGATGTCGCGTCATAGCGGTATTGTACAGAAATATTTTCAGTATTTTAAAGTAAATGTCATTCTTTTTGGTTACAATGCTATAATTTTTAATATCCTATTTAAAAAAATATTTATGTACCTCTATTGTTTTTAGATATCCAGTGTCAAATAATTTTATGATTAAAATGTTTTAATTACTGTGCTATTATTAATAAATAATTTATTTATAATAGATACATTTTTAACTGTTTATATTTATTCTTCATTTTTGGCGATGTAATTTTAAAACTCGTAAATTACTTAAATTTCAAATATTGAAACTTTTTTTATAATTTATAAGTGATCATGATCAAAAATTTATTTACTACAGATATTTAACAACATTTTAATCGAACCTGAAAACATCGATAGAACAATAAAGTTAGTAATGTACAACACTCAAACTTAAACTTCGCTCAATTTCAAGCTGTCTCTTTTCTCTCAGGTTAAACAAAGAAAAAGGATAGATTGGATGACCACAGATTGTCATATGTTGGTTATGTGAAGCATTATTGAATGTTGACCACCTATCAACGTATAACCAAAATTATAATTATTGTCAATTCAGACAAAATGATATTGAATAAATATAATTTATTCAGTCTTAAGACAATTACAATCGCCTTTTTGTTTTGAAAAATCTGTTGGCTCTTTTGGCTAATACACTTGGAAACCAGTTTAAAATCGAATCTATCTTAAAGCTAGAATAGTTTATTATCTACAGAAAAGATTATAAACTGACGATATGTATAATTTTATATTAATGAAATAAGTAATTAAAGTTTGACAAATATTATGTAAGAATTCTAATACTTTTGTATAATATTTATCAAACTAATTACTTATTTCATTTCGGGCCACAACAGATTGAATATTTATTTCTAATTTATTTCACTGACGTGAAGTGATCGTATATTAAAAATACTTATGTGATAAGTTTAACGCATGAGACATCTGGTTTTTGATACGGCCATTATAAACAACTAAAATTGTCAAAACTTTTTATCAGCATTTAAGATTTTATTAAATTAATAAATACACTCGCTTATATTGAGTTTTAGTACATGCCCTGTTAAGGCAGTTTAATTTTGAATAAATTATTGTGTATGTAGATTAAATACTTAATCCTATGCCAAGAGTTGGGAGTATCAACCTTACTGCCAGTAAATAAGGTCTTTGTTCGCGAGGCGTATTGGTCGGGACGCGAGAGCAAAATGTGTGGTAATGAGATGTTTATGTTGTGTGAATGGTTGATTTTAACTATAAAATGGATATATAAATTATATATACGAATAAATAAATAATTTTTGAAGCACTCGCGTCTTGTTTTATTGAGCTAAGTACCCAACGATAATTTTTATTTAATTGAATGTTTTAAATATTTTTTCAAATTACATTTAAGAAATTTAGTAGAAATAATAATAATAATTAGTAATTTGATCTATGAATAGAAAGCTATGATAATAGATGGCTATGAACTGCTTTTCTTCCAAATTTCATCAAAATTCGAACGGGTCATAGTAGTAATTAGACGCAAAAGGATCCTAGCGCATAAACTCTTTTGATTTTAGTAAACCGTTGGTTTTTAAACATTTTAATATTTTTATGGAGTTTAAGTCAATCGAAAAGATGTTTTTGTCGTAATGAGCTAGTCAAACACAAATCGTGCAAATCCATTATAATGAGCATTATAATGAGCTTCCGTAAATGATTCGCTTAAAAGATAATATTCTTTGTAAAAAATGGTTAAAAAAACACCAGCTCCAGGTTCTCTGAGATTGGACTCTACCCCACGAACTTTCGCAATCCAGGGACTGCTCTAACCACTGAGCTGGACCCAACAGGACTGAAAAATTGTTTCAAGCATTTGTATCTTCTCGGTACTAGTGAGCGTATTTTCATCAATGTTCAGGCAATCCGCCCAAACAGCCGAAATATATATTTTAAACTTTCGATCAAAATGAAAATTTGCCCTAATTCTTTTTGCATTCAGAATGCAATACTGTTTTTTTTTTTCATTTTAAGAATATTTTCCATTTCCAGAAAGAAAAATTGATATAATATATACACAATATAATACTTAAATAAATTAATTTTATACTTAATCCAATTAAAGATACATAATAAGAACCCATGTGCTTAACAATATTTTTATTAACTATTATAAATTTATAAACCGTATTCCATTTCCTGTTTGAGTCGCGCTTGTTTTAGCTTTGACCGACGTTGACTCCTCTTTTTATGGAAAGGTGTGCTACCTATTAACATGCCAGACTTCTGTAGGGCTATGAGCTTTGCTGATTTACGCTGTCAAAGGAAAAAAAACACATAATCAAAACCCTGGTTACGTTAGGTTACCGTATTTCAGATACGGTATTACGTTCAAGTATTTCAGATGTTCGATATGATATGACAACTTTGGTAAGGACAGCCAAGAGATGGGTGACCAAAAATTTATTATTTCGAACTCCGTGCTAAGGAAGTCATATTATGCTATTAGTTCTGGTTGCATCTGCAGTTAATACCCATCAATCCGCTCTGGGCTTGCGTGGTGGGTTAGTTAGGGCATAAGGAGGAGGAGCATTATGTAGATTTATTTAAATTAGGGAAAATGTGAATTTAATCAATCTTGGACTTTATTCCTACTGCAAAAATACTTACTTTTGCATCGCTCTTGCTAATTTTGCTATTCTTTTGCGTGGTGTACAATACTTTAATCCTATTGCTACCCATCATTGAGTGATGTTTGGACAAAGCCAACTGCAACAAACGATATAAGAAATAAAGTGGATAGCAGATTGAGAGTATATACGAAATAGTGACAAATAGCCAAGTTACGTATTGTCTATTTTTTTCTACTTGAGATAAAAAGTAAACAAATATGGCGTCTTTATGCGATTTGACACTTGATAGGATTGGCAAACATTGAAGTAAGTAAGAGGGTATTTGAATCTTTTCTGAAAACTATTTTAAATGGTTGTTTCATACATTATAAATACTCTGACAATAAATTTCATTAGAATCTGTTCTATTTTGGATGAAAATAATTGTAAAAATTTAAAACGCCAAAATCGCGCAAAAAACACTGCTCTGTAATGTCGCTGATCACGTGGTATTTGTGACGTCACATACCGGTAAATATATCATGGCGACATAACCTCTTTATCAACTATTTATTGATTTATAAATTTAAGTAAACAAATAGTAACAAATACGAGGGTCAAACTGAAAGTTCTTAGAACTGGCCACTTATAAACAATATAATAAAAAAATAATTCTAAAATTTGAAAATATAACTCTTTGCCAATATTACTGAGTATATATTTCATTCATTTGTCATTTGTTTTACGATTTGGCGGCAAATTGAAAATTGTCTGTGTCACGTCATCATGAATTTAACACGAGAAAATTTTCGTGCAATGATTTTTTATGACTTTCGATGTCATTTAAGTCAACAAGAAAGTTATGATAGACTACGATTGGCCTTTCACGATGAAGCCCCATCTCGTGCGACTGTTTACAACTGGTTTAATGAGTTTAAACGTGGTCGCACTAATCTCACTGATGATTTACGTGAGGGACGGCCTTCTACGGCGACGACTGAAGATAACATCTGTGTTGTGCGGCGTATGATAGAGACTGACAAAAGAGTGACCTATCAACAGATTCGGACAAGCTTAGGCATCGGTATGAGTCAAGTGCACAAAATCCTCCACGAACATTTAGCGGTCAGGAAGCTTTGCGCCCGGTGGATACCTCATAATTTGACTGAGGCTCAAAAACTCCATCGTGTGGATTGGTGTCGTAAAATGATTGAAAGATTTAACGGAGGTGACTCAAATGCTGTGTTCGACATACTAACAGGTGACGAAAGCTGGATTTACTGTTATGATCCTAAAACCAAAAGACAATCTGCTCAGTGGGTGTTTCCTTTCGAGGAGTTGCCAACTAAAGTGAAGAGAGATCGAAGTGCGGGAAAAAAAATGGTGGCCTCGTTCTTTGGAAGGATAGGTCATTTTGCAACAATTGTGTTAGAGGATCAAAAAACAGTTTCTGCAGAATGGTACACTACCAATTGTTTGCCACTTGTCTTGGAAAAAGTTCGAGAGAAACGACCTCGCAGTAGGATCCTCCTTCACCACGACAACGCCTCGTCGCACACCGCCAAGCGAACGATCGACTATTTGGCGACATCAAACGTTGAATTACTGGGTCACCCGCCGTATAGCCCCGACCTCGCGCCTTGTGATTTTTATTTATTTCCAAAAATTAAAGAAAAACTTAAAGGAAAGCGGTTTATGAATGCTGAAGAAGCGGTGGCTGCGTATCGCGATGCCATTGAAGAGACCCCTAAGGACGAGTGGGCAAAGTGCTTTTCCCAGTGGTTCCATCGCATGCAGCGGTGTATTGACGTGAATGGACAATATTTTGAAAAGATATAATAAAACTAATAACTGGCTAATGTAATCAGTTTTTGATTTTCTAAGAACTTTCAGTTTGACCCTCGTAATAGTAATAGTATAATAACAGAAGAGAAATCGAAGTTAAATTTTATGTTTTATATTTGTATCTACTCTGCTTTTGTTTATAGAAGTGAGCTACAAATTGTATGTATAAATACAAATTTTGCGCATCTCTAATAACACTGTTTTGACATGACAGCTTCCGATTTACGTATGACGTCACATGCCAGTAAACAGAACCTGTTATTGGTTAATAATTTAGTATTAAAAAGTGAAGATGCGTCGAATAGTGGTTCAACCAAATAACCGAACACCAAATACTATTCGGTTTAAAAAACTTTACCGACCCGGATATGCGGCCGAATTATTCGGTTTACCATTTCTTTGCATAAACAGGTTTAAAAATAAATGTTTATAGAAGTTTAAAAAGAAATGTGGATTTTATTGAATTTAAAAATAATATTTGAAGATTAAAAATTAAAATAAATGTTTATTTTATTAGTTTTAATCAACTCATTCTTCATAGGCTTTTTTTGGCTTTTTACATCAAAAGGAGATTAACGATAAACTTTGTGGCGTTGCCGGGCTGACGTTATTCTGGCAGCGCCGCAGCTAGAACTTTGTATTTACAATGAATTTCAATAAATCCTTATCCATTATTTTTCAGTCTGGGACATAGCGTCCATGAATGGCTAAAGTAAATACTTTATAGATAATCAGGAATACTGTGGCGCTGCTGGGCTGGCGTCATTCTGGCAGCGCCACGTTATATATTCTAAGCTACACCACTTTAAAAGCTGATTCTTTAAAAATGTCAAGTCATTTTAGCATTAATTGCAAAAATTGATAGGTTTTTGACATCTCTTTTTATTGTCTCTACTTCCATATTGGACACCAAAGTTATTTGAAACCCCACATTTGCGATAAAACCTTTGGTTTGGAAATAAGGATGAATCGTCTTGAAGGGCTCGTTTTGTTACTTTACGCACGCACCTTTATTATAGGTGCAAACCATAAATATATGGTGCGAACTAGGGCTTTCAATCCCGCAGCCTGTATTCAATCATTAAAGTCGAGGAATGGGGGCTGGCTACGTCACAACATGTACAAAATGTACAAAGACGTGACGTCATACGACATTTCAATAATCTATCAAACGGACGAACAAACAAAAATCAGTCATCAACCCTATTAAAGTGACACCACAGAGTGTGCATGCCATTCAACTACTAACGATTTTATAAATGCAACCATTTTGAACTTACCTCATACGTGGGTTCGTTTCGAAGTTCAACGTAAGCCATAGCTTTTTTATTCTCCAGTTTGTTCTCTTTTGGTTTTGGTATACGAATATTTATTATGTGTTCATTCATTTCAACGAAATGTTGCATTATCTGTAACATACAAGGCTTGTCTAAACACTGATTGAAAGACTGTCTTTAGGAACGAAAGTCACAATAAGTACTTGAGAAGTTCCAAGTTTCATTAAAATTCAGAAGGTTCAGTAGGAACAGCACTTCCCAGCTTTATAATAGCAGTTTCCAGCAACAAGAAGATAGGGTAACCATGAGATTTTTAATTAAGATTTTTAAGCTGTTTTTCCGCGACTTTGCCTGTGCAAATTATAACCTGTGGTCTCTGTGTCATCTGTATGTAATGTGAAATAAACTTTAAAATTGTTCTAATAATTTTGAAGTCTATTTAATACAAACACACAAACAAACGATAAATCTTTTTCTCCTTATAATTTATTACTATAAAATCAATATTATAGTTTGTATTCTAAAGTTGAAATCAGCTTACCATATCTTTAGTGACGTCCAAAGGTAAATTTCCTAGGAACACTACGTATCTCTTCTTTCCTTTAACTTTTCTCACTTGCTCTTTCTTTTCAACTTTATTACCTTCAGTTACATTTTCTTTATTCTCATTCTTTTTTAACTTCTTTTTCTCCACTGCCTTTTCTTCAGATGGTTTTTTTATCGTATTATTTTTCTCGGCCACTATTGCCACTTTTAACATGTTGTACAAAATCCTAATTTTACGCAACTGTGCATCGGTTAGGTCGGCATTGCTTCTCAAAATAGCGAGAATACTATTGTGTATTGCATCCGGGTGGACAGAACTCGTTTTTCTCTTCAATTTACCTTGCATCTCTTGTCGGATGCGACCTGAAATGTTGGTTATAGAAAGTTTAGTTTTCACTGGTGATGATGGATTTGTGAGTACCTCGGTGGCGTAGTGGATATGCGCCACGGCCCGCGATCGCTGTTGTTAAGCAACTTTCGCAAGGGATGGGTGACCAAAAAAATATTATCTCGAGCTACACCGTGCTTTAGAAGGCACGTTAGGCCGTTGGTCTTGCCTGCATTTATAGTCACTAAAACCCTCCAATCCGCATTGGGCCAGTGTGAAGAGGCATCGCCCATCCTCCTTAACCATCCATAACGAAAGCCTGGGCCTTTACAGTGAGGTCGTAAGACTGATGATGATAACACATTAAAACTGTCACTGGAGTAAATGAAGCAAAACATGACTTATGTAACGATAAAAAATAGCGAATAGTTGTTTGGATTTTATATAATACTTAAGTATAACTCCTTATTATTTTATATATTCCTAGTAGTTCGCAATTTCATCTGCCTAAGTTATAGTCTATGTCGTATGATGTAGCTTCCAGTAGGTGAAAGAAATTTTAAAAGAGACCCAGTACCTAGTTTCGGAGCCTATTTGATGCGAAGTTACAACTCGTAATGAGGTGAGGTTTCGTTTTACCACTACACTCTAAAAAATGGAGGCCAACAAAGAGCGATTTTCTCTTGGTTGACATAATATTGAATAAAACAATTACTTATTTACATAAATCAACCAAAGCTGAAACATTGAACCAACTAGTTAAAGTATGGTTAAATTAAAAATTTGGTAACCCTGGTTAATTCTATCAAATATATTTATCGTATCTATCATTACTGGATTTTTTTGTGTGAATCGATTATTTTTAATAGTTAAATTTAACAACTAAGTATGTTGAAGCAATTTATACAAATTGATCAAAATAAATAGGTAAAGTAATAGATTAGACGATTTTTATTGTTGCAGTAATAAGTTCTCGTATTTGGTTTAACAAAGAACGTTAGCAGAACCAAAAAAACCCTTTGTTTTTCAAACAATAAAGACTATTTAGTCAATTCAAAAACATGAATGATTAATGGTAACTACTTGACATTATTGGACTAACTAAAATTAAGCTGTTCATGCTACTAACAATGTATTTGCTAAAATAATTATCAAATTCTGATTGATTTAAATACTGTCTTACATGAATCAACTAAGAAAAGCGAGTGCCAACAAAGAGTGACTTTGTTAAATCCACACAAACTTATCAAATTCACTTTTCTATTGCGAGAATATTGTTTGAATATTGTTATGAAAAAGATTAATTCAACCAACATGTTGGTCGATATTAATATGAAACACGCCCATCATCTTCACAGGTGCCCGAATAGTTTTAAGTCTGCAAACTAGATGGCGTTGTTCATTTAATGCATCGCGGTATCAGTTTATATCGTTAGATTGTATAAGTAATATGCCGTTTAAAGTAAACTACAAAAAGAAACTGATTCCGCTCTCAGCTTTCGTTGCGCGCCCCCGTGCGCGTACACGACTCTCTCCTACCCAAACTGTGAGTACTCTCGTGCCGTCTGCACACCCCGAGCGCAAGCCCTGCTGATTTTGTTTTTCTCAAAACATTAAACCAGTAGGACTTGACTCACTCTCAAGTTCTTGAGTTGGTGGATACCTAACGGTGGCAACTAAGCCAACTGAGCGATCCCGGTGCGCTCGCTAAGGCCCTTCAGGCTTTAGCAACACCGAAGACCCGATCCCAGTGCACTTGGGCCTTGTCCCAAGGGTGAAGGTTTGCCGCTATATCCAATAGGGATAGCCGCATTTTTCCGCGTCGCGTTTTCCCCCCTCGCTCCGGCGCGGGGTAGGTCTTTTGCACACTCGCCCTATCTCCCTCTAACCTACCAAGGTAGGTGTGACGGAGAGAAGTGCGAGTGAAATACAACTACTCCTCTCTCTCTTTTGCATCTAACGGTTTGCATTGCCGATATGTCAGACATAATAAAGAAAAATAAACACTTATTCGACGAAATACGGCGAACAGTGTCCGATAGCGACTACCAAAGAATCATTGAATTGACTTTGGAGTTGGCTGCCGCTCAGGCGTCGCCTGTCCCCCCAACTTCCGACATGGAGTGCGAAAGCACATCCATAAAGAGGACCGCTTCTCAGCGGTCCCCCTCCTGCCCCTCCGCTCCGTCGGACGACGACCTTCTCAGGACGTCTGATTCCGACGAATCCTCGGGCACATTTCATACGGTGAGAAGCCGCAAGAAGCGTCGTAAGCCACGCTCTCCTAGAGCAAGTGCGGACGCTTCCACGGAAAACGTCTCAACAAAGCCCCGCACATCGGACGGGGTGTCCTCGGTAAGCAATACCGCCGAGAAAACCTCCCTCGGCCCAAACCTTACCAGAGGCAACACCGGCAAAAAAGCCACCCGGGAGAATACTCCTAGTATTACTCCCTCCCACACCCCGCTGCGGCCGCATAATAAATGCACTCCGCAGCCGGGTAAACCCAAACCTCCGCCTCCCGTATTCATACGGGACAAATCAAGGTGGGCAGAGGTCTCGAATCTCTGTACACAAAATAAGATCAACTACACCCATGCCAAAAACATGGGTGTAGCTATCCGGGTGGAAACACCCACCAGTGAGGACTATAGAGCCCTCACTAGACTCCTAACCCACCACAAGGTGGGTTATCATACCTACGCTCTCCCAGAGGAGCGCAAAGTTCGTGCGGTCCTAAGAAATGTTCCGTACGAGCTCGCCACCGATCTGATCCAAAAGGATCTAAACGAACAGGGATTCCCTGTCGAATCCGTTCACAAAATGCATAGTAGAGCCGGCAGGCCTTTCCCACTGGCTCTACTCATCATTCCGAATGTCCCCAACGCTCGGGACATTTTTAAGACTAAAGACCTTAGGGTCTGCGGCCTTACCGGGGTTAAAGTAGAACCCCCTCACCGACGCGGTACTCCGGGACAGTGCCACCGATGCCAGCTTTATGGGCATGCGGCGGCTAACTGTTCCGCGACTCCGAGGTGCGTAAAGTGCCTCGAGTCACACCCTACAAAGGAGTGCTCTCGTACTCGAGACACTCTCACCCCTCCGGCTTGTGTACTGTGTGGCCAAAGCGGCCACACGGCCAACTACAAAGGTTGCCCACGAGCACCGAAGCCCAAACCCTCTTCAAAGAAGAAGGGTAAGGGTCCGGTGGTCAACAAAGCACCTAAAGCCCCCCCTCCGCCCACTGCGGCGAATTTTCCCGCCCTACCAAAGGCGAACCATTCCGCCCCCAAATCGGCTTCTAAACCGGTTTGGGGCCCCCAGACGAAACCTTCACCCAAGGCTTCCGTCACACCTCCCAAAACCGCTCCTGTTCTTTCATCTATGGCCGATGACATAAATCTAGTTCTCAACTTGATTCGTGGAATCGACCTAAATGAAATCACCACCCTAGCGGCTAAGCTCCGTCGCGCTTCGTCCACACAGGAACGCCTTCTGGCGCTGTGTGAACACGAAGCGCTACTAAGTGCTTTATCATAAGCACTAACATGTTAGGTCCCCCAAACCTTCCACACCCCATCATACTGACCCTTCAGGTCAACCCTCTCTGCCCTCTCGACCTGACATCCCTTCAGGATGCAGGCCACACAAATTGTTACGGGTATCAATTAGCACCCCTCTGGTGGTATGCGATGCTCCCCTCCCTGCCCTCCACACGCCGACCCTTCAGGTCACACCCCCGTCCGATCCGGCTGATCGTTCCCCTTCAGGGAGTCAGCTGTACGTACCTAAATCCGATGTGCCGAGCCCCCCACGGGGTTAACGGCTAACATCTCGACGTCACTATTCATGTAAGTGTTTAGGGACGTCTGCGCCGCCCCCCCCCTTGAGGGGGGGCGGTCGCTCCGATGAAGGTTCGTTGCCTCCGGGTATGTAACCAGTAGTCCAAGGCGGTGTTTAGTCAGTAAGAGTCTGACATAACCCTCACAGCCGGCTGTGTTGGTATCCAATGAAGGATTCACCGCCTCCTTCCTACGTTTATGGGAAGGTGGTTCCGAGCCCATAAGGTTGAGAACCCAAAAAAAAAAAAAAAAAAAAAAAGTAAACTTAATATGGGATTGGAAACCAACCATTCCAGTTATTTACTTTAGCTCTTTGATTAGACTCTGAGCTGTGGTCCGAGATTAAAATCTGACTCGCTTTGGATCAAAAGTTCAGAATTTATCAAACGGCTAGAGTGGTTGGTCGTCTTGGTTGAATTACCATTGGTAAATCGATTAATATAATCATATCTCATGCTTATATTGACCAATCTTTTGGCAGAATAAACTTCGGTAAATTGTTTGAAACAACCAAGTTTCATATTAATATCGACCAACATGTTGGTTGAATTAACTTCGGTAAATTGGTTAGTACAACGATGTTTCATGCTTATATTGACTAACCTATCGGTTGAAAGAACTACGGTAAATTGGCAAGTACATATTTCATGGTTAAATTGACCAACTCTTTGGTCAAATTAACTTTCGTAAATTGATTAGTTTAGCCACGTTTCATGTTAATTTTTACCAACCTCTTGGTTGAATCAACTGTGGTAAATTGTTCATACAGTCACATATCATAGACATATCGACTACGATCTTATTTAAATTGAAGACTAGGAGGTAGTTGCTATAGTTATTTATAATGATCAAACTGAATGAAATCTTAACTATCTTAACAAAGTAACTATAGTAAAAATAATAAAAACCATCTTATTTAATGTATCTAACATCTTGTCAGGCTCATATGGAAACAAGATGCTTGGTCACATATATCACAATATTGTTTGATTTAACAATTTTTTTTTTAGAGTGTAGATGGCCACTCTAGCAAAATTGATTTTTGCAGGAAACGAATGGACCAAAGACAGTAATTTCCGTTCCTTTTAACTAACATATTAAAAAACTGAAATTTGAAAAGTTCGAAACTTAGATTTCAATACAAATACGAAAAAGTACAAATAGAATATGAGTTGTTAATTGAGTTTAGAAAACTAATTTACTTTTATACATGAATGAAAACCGGAAAGGTTGTCATGGAGAAATCAAGACCGTACCGCGACATCTAGTTTGGTTTCGGGAACTAATGTCTTTTTTTAAATACTTCCTCATTGGGACGTCAGAGAAATAATTCATTATATATAAATAAAAGGAATTAACAATTTATATTAAGATACAAAATTATTTTACTACATAAGAAAGTTCTTTGCATAACAAATAAACGTTACTTACGGGTTGGAACTCGTATTCTAAAATCACTCAAATTTTCGCAGTATCCATCTTTCTTGTCTAAGTTGAATATTAAAAACAATTGAAAGGCGATATTCAAATGTTTCACATTTTTTAAAAGAAGAACATCATGGAAACCATGTGGAAAAAAGTTTCTTTTGAAAATCTCAAACCATAAAGATTCTGTCAATTTTAGGAACCTATTACAATAAAATGGTAATTTTATACTTTATCCCCTAATACTAATGTCTTAAAAGAATCATATAAATTACCTTTTTGGTTTCCTGACAATGGTACAGACATAAATTTCTTAATCAATTCCTCATCTTTTAACACAGGGTATTTTGCACCAATCTCTTCCAAAGAGGGCTCCTCAAATGTCACTTCCTTTTGAAGCACTGAAATTAACATATAAAAATAATATGATATAGTAATTTATAACAAGTTTTATCAAAGGATGACGAAGACACCAGTTAGTAACCAAAAGGCCGACAAATAACTACATAGACATTTGAGGCAGCCAGACATAGCAATGAAGTGAAATATCATAAAAAAAAAAATTATAGTGGTAAATATCGATTTACTCCACTGTAAAGTTACTTTTCGTAAATCACCTATGTTTCGATTTTATCATAAAGAACCTAGTAAACATTTGGTAAGGTTAGATTAGAACTGTAATCAGATTTTATTTAAGTAATTTCCTTAGTGCCTTTACATACACCTCAACTTTCCTTGTGGTATTAATTTCTACATCAAAAGGGATTCTTGTGAAGATATATATATTTTGTTTAAGATATAGATTGCTTATTAAAGATGTCACCTCTCTTCTCAAGTAGATTTTCTATTAAGTCTGAAAAAAAATAAACACCTACCAAGATTATTTTCCTGTGCTGGTGAGCCATTTGCTTTTGATCCTAACTTTGAGGCTTCAGTTACTGGTGGCGAAACAGATTCTAATTTCGGCTTCTTAATTTTTTTCTTCTTTTCTACATGCAAGTCATTTATAGTTTCTAATTTTATATTATGAGTTAACAATGGATAAGTAGAATGGTGTTTTGCAATTTTCTGCTTCTTTGCTTCTGGTAAATCACTTAACCGTGTTGGTGGTGAAGCGGGTAACGGGGAATCAGATGCGGACTCGCGTTGTTTGGCTTTTTTAAGGTTTTCCATTGGCCAATTGTTTTCAGTAGTTTCTAATTTTTCTGGGGCATCATTTATACCTGTTGGCGATGAAGCTGGAAGTGGTGAATCAGATGCAGACTTGCGTTTTTTGGCTTTTTTAATGTTTTGCATTGGCCAAATGTTTTCAGTGGTTTCTAATTTTTCTGGGGCATCATTTATACCTGTTGGCGATGAAGCTGGATGTGGTGAATCAGATGCAGACTTGCGTTTTTTGGCTTTTTTAATGTTTTGCATTGGCCAAATGTTTTCAGTGGTTTCTAATTTTTCTGGGGCATCATTTATACCTGTTGGCGATGAAGCTGGATGTGGTGAATCAGATGCAGACTTGCGTTTTTTGGCTTTTTTAATGTTTTCCATTGGCCAATTGTTTTCAGTAGTTTCTAATTTTTCTGGGGCATCATTTATACCTGTTGGCGATGAGGCTGGAAGTGGTGAATCAGATGCAGACTTACGTTTTTTGGCTTTTTTAATGTTTTGCATTGGCCAATTGTTTTCAGTAGTTTCTAATTTTTCTGGGGCATCATTTATACCTGTTGGCGATGAAGCTGGAAGTGGTGAATCAGATACCGACTTGCGTTTCTTGGCCTTTTTAATATTTAGCATTGGCAAGTTGTTTTCAATAGTGTCTGAATTTTCTGTCTCAATTCTTTTAGTCAACAATGGTGAAGTAGGTTCTGATTTACGTTTGTTAAATGTTTTCTTTTTTCCAACACTAGAAAGAAATAAAATCATTTACTTATTACAATTCTTAAGTTGCAAAAAATAGTGTTGATTGCAGTATAGTGTTATATAATTCCTGTCTCAGTATAATGCCTTTAATACTATTGATTAACTTTGACAAGTTTCATTAAAAAGAAATTGTGCCACAGTGTATTTTCATAGGCATGGAGAGCAGTATTCCTGGCCTTACATAATTCTAGTAATGAGTAAGTGAGACTACAACAATAATTATTTTACAGTAGCATATTAAACTACTAACTGTAGGTATTATGTAATTGAAGGGAATATTTTTGTCAGAAGTAAAGGAATAATATTCATCATCATCATCAGTTAACTAATATACCCACACGATGGGGCTCAGGCTTTCTTTATAAATGGTACCAAGTGAAATCAAATAGTGAGAATGGCCCATGTCCGATCACTCAGGCCCAGTATGGATTGACAAGTGTTAATAAACTGCAGGTGCAGCAGCGACCAATGCCTTAACATGCCTTCCGAAGAAACAATATTTGCAATCAACTAAGTGGTGTTTTGTGTATTTATAACACAATAACAAGTAATTTTCAAAATCACAATAATTTTTCAGTACAAAATGACTATATATTGAAGTATGTTGTATATATTATGGTAATAAAGGTTTTATTTCATCGAACCTCTTTGCTGTGATAGTGCAGTATTCGGCGACGAGTTTGAAGCTGATTTTAACACAGAATAGCAAACCTGGTGCAGATTGATTGTTCTAAGTTTATTTAGCAATTGGTATGCTATCCATTAGAATATATATATAGTTTAATACGTGCATTAAAACTTACCCATTAACTTCTAGCATGATGGCTTTTACAGTTATATACTATTTCAAAGTAATAGTTGACCACAATAAAATATGGTTATATTAGATATACTTTTTAATTTATAAATGATATAGATATAAATACTTTGTTTATCTGTATATTACAATTGTAAATACTATTAATATTTGATGCAATTTTTTGTCATATTTTTTAAAATTATAATTGTAGAATTTACCGCAAGTCACACACGTGCAATTTAAAAATATTTTTACAAAACGTACTGACGAACAGGCTTCGACATTAAAAACCGTAATTCAAAGTTTTACAGTATATTTACTGTGAAACTTTACTTTACAGTTTTAAACACTTGATTAATTTTTACATTTTTCTTAGTAGATCAACTTATAAATTACGCCAAAACACAAAACGTGACTTTGTTTTGATTTTGATGGTTATGACATTGACGTTTTATACAGTTAGTACTATGGTATAAAGACAAAGAATATAGCCAATACAGCCTTATAACTTTAGTAAATTTGGACATTATAAAAGTTCCGTTCAATTTTTTTTTAATTAATTTCAGGTTTTTAATTTTCTGAATTATTTAATTTTTATTTTTACATAACTGCCCCAAAAAGGAGTGTACTGTTTTTAAAGTTAATATATGCATTAACTGAGAGTTTCTTTATACCACCAAGTTCCAGCATAACTTTTCAAAAATAACGGATAAGTAGGTACACAAAACTATTTAAAATGGCGGATGTATGACTCCATTTAAAAAATATGAAAATCAAAAGACAAACGCTTGTGGAACATTTGAAATCTAAGAGGTTCCCCAGCTGCAATGAGAATGTAATGAGGAAGTATTAAAAAAATATAGAAACTACAAAAACTTATGTTACTAGATGGCAGCACAAATTGTTGGATCTAAACGTCAATTCATGACGGTAAACCAAAGAGAATAGAATTAACAGTGTTGTTATGGATTTGATAACTCGGATTAATATCGAGTTGAAATTTAATTAGTTCGAGTTATGCAAACGCAACTCGATAAATGCAAAGTAATCTTTGAATGTATTTATTTTTTATTTGTATAGAGGAAAACGGAAACTAACATAATGGAAGTGAGCACAGAGGTTTTTTTCTAAATTTATGGCAATCAATTGAATTAATGCTGTGATATAATTAAAAGTAGCGTTTAGCTACGGTATACAATAAAATTACCGCAAATAGTTTTTATAAATAAAATACTTATGCCATTGTAGGTCTAGGGATTTTTCATTATAATATTTAACAAAAGTTCTTAAAACAATAACAACTTGGTAGTTTTATTGCTATTAGTTGTTTGAACTAACAACAACAAAAGTACATCAAGTCTCAATAATATTTTTATATCATGTATGGTGAATGAATGAATAGGGTGTATTAATCACCAACAAAAGTCATAAAAACGATAATAATAAAAAAATACTTTTATTATATATACTTACCCGAGATGTATCAAATATACTGGGTATTCGTACAAAATAACATGACTTCTAGCTTAAATGACGTTTGTGCTAAGTGAAACTTGCAAATAACTTGTGCTTTCGAAATTAAGACTTTAAAAAACTATGATCAGTTATTAAATGTTATTATACTATTGCTACTGATCTCGCATATCGACGGCGGACATCGAGCCATGTGTTAAGTTAATGAGGAAGTATTTAAAAAAAAACGAAAGCACTAAAAAAGTTGATTTTTGCAGGAAACGAATGGAGCAAAGACAGTCATTTTCGTTCCAATTAACTAACATATTAAAGAATTGAAATTTGAAAAGTTTGAAACTTAGATATCAATACAAATACGAAGGAGTACAGGTAGAATATGAGTTGTTTATTGAGTTTTGAAAATTAATTTACTTTTAAACGTAAAAGAAAACCGGAAGGGTTGTCATGGAGAAATCAAGAACGTACCGAAGCGACATCTAGTCTGAATTCGGGAACTAATGTTTTTTTTAAATACTTCATCATTCGTACGGTGGGTGTGTGCTTTTTGGTACTAACAATAATACTGTTAATAATAGATTGACTTCCTACAAAACCTACTCTAGAAATCAGTTTTATTAAAATATATTATTTACTAAGTACTTAGAGTAGTCATGCTCTTTTAAAATCTCTGCGGTGGTGTCGTGCGCGTTTGGTCGTTACGTTCCCTCAAATATAGTATAGTTGAAATTACAAAAGCAGCCCTTGCTAAGTTTCTTGCCGATTCTTGTCGGTACAAGATCTCCCGCCTTAGTTTTGCGAACCATTGTCAAAGTTTTCGATTTTTACAAGTTACTGTGTAAGAGCCTAGAGTGGATTGATTTTGATATTTATATTAAAATCATTCGTTTTGTGAATACATAATGACACATATAAATACAAGCTGAATTCTGCGCTCCGCTTTTTGTTCTTCATTCCAAACTTGAATACGGATGAAAGTTAAGAGCAAACAATAAGTTGGCTCATCACTAATGTTGATGTATAAACCAAACATCGTTCCTTTACACGTAACACAATAAACAACTTAAACTTACGATTAAAATAAATTCAAATTATTTTGAAAGTTAGATATTATAAGAAAAACAAAACGATGTCATATTTTGCCATGCCCTATCATTAATGTGGGATCTGCATTTTAACGATTTTTGTATAAAACCTCATCAAAGGGTGTAAGGAATAATATCACAAAAAAATAATTGTTGATTTTATTATAATTACGAAGATAATTACGTTATTAATGTCGGTAGTGTCGCTTGTGTACGTACAAAAATGAAGGTACTCACTTACAGTCAATTTTGATCGGACATAACCAACGAGTGGATGTGTCGATCTTGCGTCGATCTGCCAGTTACATAGTTAATGTCGGGAATAATGCACGTAGGTTCTTTGGAGCGCCAAATTGTTGTGAAACATTACATACACTCTGATTTCAAAAGATATAATGTCAGTCGACCGCAAAGAAGCAGATTCAACCGTGGGAGAGCCACGCTTCGGCATGAATGGGCCGGCTCGACCGGCGTGACACCACGGCCTCACAGAAAACCGACGTGAAGCAACGCTTGCGTTGTGTTTCGTCGTGTGAGTGAGGGTACCGGTAGGGTTCGAACGATACTTTCGATACCGAGTAGGTATCGATACTTTCAAAAGCGAAACTCGATACTAAGTACTCGATACTACAAAAAGGTAAATACTCGCAAGTACTCATCAAAATTGCTGGTATCGAGTATTCTTGCTAAAGAATATATACTATAGGCGTTTGCATTTGACGTTTCAACTTAAATCTTATACTTTTACTCTTTGGTTATTATTTTTATACCCTTTATACCCTTTTGGCTGCCATAAAAATAATGTATGACTGAATTGTATAAATGTATGGAAGTATTGGATCGGTTTTTTGACGTGGATACGTCTATGTTTTCGTTCTACAGGGGGGTCATTCTGTGAGCAGGAGTATATGCACTAACGCCATCTATTGGCGTATAAGTGAAATATGCTTGCTCTGCAGGGGGAGGGGCATTCTGTCAGCAGGAGTATATGCACTAACGCCATCTGTTGGCGCTAGTGAATACTTTTTTCATTCAACAAATGAACGCAACGAATATTTATTTATTTAGTGTCTTCAATTTTTTTTTTTTTTTTTTTGAATAATTCATTTATAAATGCAATTATGCCACAACGTTGCATAATTCCGGGTTGTTTTGGAGAAGCGAATCGTTCAGTTTTTAGAGTGCCAAAGAACATTGATAGACGTGAAGAGTGGTTAAAAGCTATTCGTGATGTGTTTCCTAACCTGGATGTTGGTGAAAAGAAGCAGATTTTACGGCATATATAATTGACAAATCTGGAAAAATTATTCAAAAGGTATCATTATAATATACAATACAATAAATATAATACAATAAATAAAAAAAAAATTGCTTTATGCCATACGTATGCATATGTACACATCCATCTACGAACACGTAAATATAGCTTTATATGCGTTAGTAATAAAATGTAAAATATTTTTGAGTGAATTTGGTAATCTTTAAATAAAAATAAATAAATTCGTGCAAATTCAAGTAAAGGACATCGTCGAAAATGGCCCCAATATGAACAAGCATGAATATTTTACAATAAATCGCCGTCATCTTTACTGTCATGTCGTACATGAAGCTGTTAAGGATGTTCTACTTGTAATGTATATAATAATCGATAACTTGATTACACTTTAATTTTTACACTACGAACGATTTTTTTCATTCGTTATAAATTGACATATTAATAAATGGCGAAATACAATATTCATATATGATTTAATCAAATACTATTTATTAGCACATAATCGTATGCTAATATTTGGTTAAGCATTTGAGAGTATTGCATGTTTTAATGTAGTTATGTTTTAATTGCATGTTACATGTTTGATATACATTACCAACCATATTATAAAAAAAATCTGTTGAAGTACCTACTGTAGGTACTTAAACATAATTATAATTGAATAGTATTTCTTCTTCTATTTTTATTTACTTAATTCTTTATATAAGTTTATTTTTACAAAGAAACAAATATGGGTAGAATAAATAAATGTAGGGTGCTTTGTTAAAAGCAAAAACGCTCTGCAAAAGTAAATGGTATCGAAAATCATAAAAATCTTTTTCAACCGAATTTTATCGAATCCCATCTTAGTGTATCTGGAACTGGTGATTTTTTTTTTATCAATTACTCATATATCCATTCATACATTGGATTTTAATTCATATTTGGACCAAGCACGGACAAATCTTTCTTCGCAAGGAAAATGGCAGCAAGGTCACGAAAATTATCAAAGAAGAAGATCTAAATGCGTTGAGTACAAATTGACTAATAAAACTAACTTATGTATTTGCTCTCTACATCTCTTTAAAATTATTTTGTAAAATACAAACACAAAATTTAATCGTTAACCCACATAATCACACTCACAAAATAATACTCTCTAGACGCATTATTTACAATATTACAAACTTCACACACTTCATACACATAAAATCATACACACTACATTATACTATAATTTCTTCCATACTGCAATCATCATTGAAGTCATCGTATCACAAGCAAAAACTCATAAAAATCCATAAAAATTATACTTATAACACATACACCGAAAACACTTACACTAATAACATCTTCACTACACAAATTATATCTTACCACATACCTCATCCACCTCAAACGCAACTTATTTTTTATGTAAAGACTTGCTTTGCGATGGAAATCACATGTAATAATAATTCTCCATGTAGGTTGCTAATACTATATCACGCTCTTACCTATATAATATTTACAATCAATCTTATAAAAACACCTATAAACCATTTTCATTTTAATGTCTGAATTTATTAATAGGGAACTTGATAGTATTCATATATT